ACCGCGCAGAGGCCGGCGCGCAGGAGCGGGCTGGCTGCCGACCCGCTGGGAGGCCGAAAGTTTCTCTGCCCGCCGCGTCCAGCCGGCCAGCGCCGCCCGCGGAGTCCCGCGCCGCAGGATCGTCCGGCCCGACAGCCCTGGAGGAGGGAAGACTGGGACACACCGCAGAACGCCCGGGAAAGCATCTCCAGTTAGCCCCGAGGCGCCGGGGGCAGGTGAGGTGCAGGGTCGAGGGTCGCGCCTGCTCCAGGGGAGTGTCTGCTGCCGCGTCCAGGCGTCCAGGTGGCGAGACAGCTGCGCTCTCGGCTTGGGCCGGTCCTGGCCTGCGTCCGCGCGTCCGTAGGTTTTTGTCTGTGTCAGTGTGTCTTAGTATCTTTGTCTCCGCGTGGAACTGTCAGGGTCTCCGCTCTGCCTGAGCGGGTGCCGCCGATCTGATCCCCGGCCAGGGGGAATGCGGGTGCCTCTGTCTGGTCTTTGTCTCCTCTCTGCAGACAGGGTTTATCCCCTCCCAAATCGGACCTGGCAGACCTCCGAGTTAGTGACACTGGTGTTGGAGGCGAGGAAGTGGGAAGTGAGCTAGTGAGATGAGTTGGGTGGGTCGCGACCCCAGTCGGGTCCGACAGCTGCGGGCACTGAACTTTGCATCTGGAATTCCGCGGCGCTCCTCTGTGTCCACACCGGTGGGAGGACACGGGTGCAGTTAGAGGTTAGGAGTGTTTCCCCAAGGAAAAAGTCACCATGGCTGACGTGGGAAGAGAGGGAAGTGACAAGCCTCTATCTGAGTGGCTTTTTGGGGGGGCGGTCTGGAGCTGCAGGTCACCAGGGTCAGTCCTGGATGAGCAGTTGGGGAATTAAGGGAGGCAGGACAACACACACACCACTCCCTCCCCAGCCGGCCCTGCTGCCCCCTCTGGAGAGCTGGGATCCCGCAGCTTGGCAGCAGCAGCAGCCACACCAAAGAAGAAGATGCTGCTTCTGCTCCAAGTGGAAAGGATTGAAGTGGAGCAAATGAGTGTTCCGCTCGCCCACGAGCATGGCAGGCCTGGGAAAGTGCTGTCTCCCAGGAGCAGGCAGTGGAGGGCTCTGAGCACCTGAGAGCTGGGGCTCTTTTCCTTCCCTTCCCTCCGGAGCCCCAGCTCCTCTGCCTGCCTGTGGGTGGCGAGCTCCTGAGGAGGCAGCCTGTTCTGGGAAGCACTTGGCGGGGCTGCTCAGAGAACGGTCCTGACCCCGCTGGAAGCACAGGCCAGACCTAACGGGAGCCCATGAGCTCTGCAGGGAGAGGCCTATCTGCTGGCAGTCCCCTGGCTCCAAGGCCTCGGAGAAGAGTCTGCAGGTAGGGGCAGGCTGGCACGTGTAACCTGAGCTTCCTCTGCTCAGAAATGATTTTCTGCGGGCATGTTGAGGGAGAATGGAGGCTTGAGGGTGTGTGAACATGGGGGCTCGAGACAGCATCTGCAGACGGGAAGGTGTCTGTGTTCCAGGGTGGGAGTCTGTGGCCAGAGCCCGCACACTAGCCGGGCATGGGGCACCCCTTGAGCTTAGCCAGCGCTTTCTGGACGGCGCTCTGTGGCCATCATAGACGTGATCTCATTTGCCCTCGCCACATAACTACCAAGTGGCAGGAGACAGTTTATCCTGTCTGCCAGTGAAGAAACTGAGGCACCAGAAGGTAAGCGTGTTCTCCAAGGTCCCTTAGGTAATAGGGGCAAGTCAGGCTTAGCAACCTGGAGTCCAGGTAAGAGGTCTCAACTTGGGGGCTAGTAAATGGTTTGGAGGCTAAGGCTGCTGCATCCCAATGTGGTCAACTGCACAGTTCGAGTCCCAGACCCGGCAGCTTGAAAATCACACCCGGCACATGTACATGTGTGCCCAAAATCCTGAGAGGAGAACGGAGGAGACAAAATTGTGGCAAGGTCACCCCCCTTGGGGGATTGGCTTTCTCACTTTCTCTGTCTCTGTCTCTCTCTGGCGAGTGCATGCACCCTATAGGAAAAAGAAAACTTTAAAACAAAAGAAGTTTCAGTTGAATAGATGGGTGTGGGGGCACCTGCTCTGCTGGAACATGAGAACCAGGGGAAGATGAAGGGAGGCGTTTCCTGAGGGTGTCCGGTGTGACCCTGGAGAGTGCTTGAGATGACTGTTAACCTGTAGCAGCCACTGTGTACACCGCCGGTAAGCCTGTTATAACAATTCAGCTTTTGCATTTGTCCATAGGGGTGTCTCCGTGTGTCTGTGGGTGCCCCAGTAGATGCACATCGTGAACTGCCAGACACGGGGTGTGCCGGGAGAGCTGGTGCTTTCAGAGTGTGAAACCTTGAGTCTGCAGGGGGAGGCAGGGGTGGACGGCTCCAGCCACATAAAAATGGCCCTAATCCTGCAAACTTACTCATTCACCTTTGCATTTGTTCAAACATTCATTTAATAAATTATTCTTTGGCTACTTGCAGAAGGCAAGTGTCTGGGCCAGGCAGTAAGGCTGCAAAGATGAATCAGGTAATGAACGCATAATGTGGTAACGAAGTTTAATGCTAGGTGCTAAGCACACTGTGTGTTATTCATTTTCTTATTTCATTTTCACTGTGGCTCTGCAGGGTGTATGTGATTATTAGGCAAAAGGAGTTAAATAATTTAGCAAGGTTGGAAAACAGAGGAGCAGGGATTTGAACTCCAGACCCCTGGCTCTTTCCACCTTCCTCTGTTTCCTTTAAGCACAGAAACACATTCTTTGTTGTGTGTACAGTATTCTTGCCTGATTCTTCCACCTCCTCCACTTAACTTGCTTCCACTTGCTCTTTGGATTTAACCAGAAGATTCACCTCCTGTCCTTTCCTTAAGTCTGGGTCAGACACCTTCCCTGCATCCCTTCTGTACATGACGACCCATGTCCTCTGGCTCCAAGAGCCTGCCAAGTCCCCAGAGGCAGCAACTGTGTGTGGATTCCCAGCTGGGGTCACAGTTTGGCCTCGGAGCAGGCCCCTAAGCGTGCTTAACCAAGTAACGGGAGGGAGGAGGCTGTCAGCGATCTCCGGGAGCACTTCCCCAGCAGTGGGTTTCCGCATAGGTACACTCCTGATAGTAGCTCTCAGTATAGGGGCGGCTCCTTCTGGGCCTCTGGCTGCTTCGGGTTGCTCCATCCTAGGCCCTGCCTCCAGGGTTGCTGCATCCTAGGCCCTGCCTCCAGGGTTGCTCCATTCTAGGCCCTGCCTCCAACAGTCCGAGAGCTTAAGGGAACCCTAGTCCCCACTCACTCTATCTCCGAATCAGTCAACTCACAAGGATGGTTCTAGAGGGAAGCCGTTAGGTATGAGCTAGGTGGAAGGTGGGGTAGTGCTGGTGGAATCCAGAGGGAGATGGTTTCTGGTGATGATGAGGTGTTTCAGAGGTCTTGCCCAGCAAAGAGGGATCTAACTGCTGGGGGGACCTTTAGAGAGCTTCCTACTAACTCTCCCCGTTTGCTTCTGAGTAGAAGACATTCTGAATGGATCTTTGTGCTGGTCTACTTCAGCGCCACTGACCTACTACCTGGTGGACGGGAGTTCATAGCCCCCAGGTTTGAGGAAGTGATTTGGCTGTGATTCTCCAAGGCCACACAGAGGGTGACTCCCTTCCCTCGCCCTTGGCATCACCCTGAGCTTTCTCATCGTGGGTGCCATTTGTGTTCTCAGGAGCCCATGAGTTTAAATTTCCTTTCAAAGCTCACTCGTCAAGTTTGAAACCTCTACATTTCACCCTGTGTTAAAGGCCTTATTTATGTGAGGTGACAGGGAAGGGGGTGGGTGTTAAAAAGGAAAGACAAAACGAGGCTAAAATTTGTGATGAGAATTGGGAAGGGGAACCGACACGCGTGAGCCGGTGACAAGTCAATTGGAACTGGATTGCACTGGCTTCGAATATGGCAGTTGCCTGGCCCACGGGAGACGCGGCAGGATGCACCAGGAAGGAGGGGACCCGAGCTAGGCCTCGACTTTGACCCGAGGAGGGCATGAAGAGTGTAGGAGCAGCAACAGCGTCTCAGCGCCAGCTCTGAGTGGTGCTTTCTCCTCTAGGAAGAGAGAGACAAAGATGCCTGTCCTGAATAAGGAAAACCTTTTTAATTTTATTTTTAGTTTAGTTTAGTTTTCAGTTTTTACCATAGGGAGCATGTACTCGGATTGCGAAAGTGAGAAATCTCACACACACACACACACACACACACACACACACATCCCTGAGGAGGGTGACCAGCCTGCAATCCCTTCTCCTCCATGGTCCTCTCCGATTTGGGGCACACATGCACACATGCCTGGAATGTTCTAAGCTGCTGGTTCTAGGACGCCTTAACCAGCATGCCACCAACTGGCCCCAGAAAAACTTTTTTTTTTTTTTAATGGGAGGTAGCAGCCCCTCTCACCACCACCTCCAGCCACCAGCCTGTAGCGCTCCTCCCTGGGGCTTAGGGCAATGGGTGGGGACATGGCTGAGGTCACGCAGGGCTGGGCTGGGCTGGCCTGGGGCTGGCTGCCTTCCTGCCCTTCAGAGAAGCCACCTCTGTATTGTTGCCATTTCCCCTGACTCCCTCAACTCCTGCTTCCCAGGGGACCCTGACTTCCAAATTGCGATGACTTTCATAGCTCTTTTTACCCATGCAGACTTTACACTTTAAAAAGGGACATATTATTATTGTAATTATGAACACCTCACAGTTCTATGAAAAGAGCTCTTCTACCATTTAGCAGATGCGGAAACGGAGTGAGCCCATCGGAGGTGACAGTTTCCCCTCAGAGACTTTAGGGGGCTGCTGAGATTGGAGCCCAGCTGTCCTGACTGTCACTCTGGGGCCATAACTACCGAGCCACCCAGCCTTGTCAATCAAATGGATCGAGGTTCCCTGAATAATTGGCAAGCTTTGAATATACAGGGAAAAAATAAGTCGTTCAAGCTGTAGGTCCACTTCCGTAATTATTGTAATTCAAGCTCGATGGTGCCTTGCAGTTTTCTCACTCTCCTGGCGACCCTGTCCCACGCCCCCACCCCCAGGCCCTTCTTATGTGAGTCCGCTAACCTCGGGACTCAGCGCCCTGGGAAGGTTGAGGGACTGCCCCCTTGCGACTTGCTTTAAAGAATGAAATTGATCAGTGCTTTCTCTCTTTATTTTTATGTTTTTTTTTTTTTTTTAAATTTTGCTAGAGGGATCCTGCATTTACCAGAGAGAGAGAAAGTGAGACAGCCCTCCCCA